AATGTATACTGTGTATATATTTCTTCTGTGAACTGATTTAATGTACAGTAGACGAAGTTCAAGCGATTCGAACATCGTGTTCCTTGTGATCCACACCCGTACATTCACACATCAACAGATCAATGTCGATCCCGATAATATATACTCTTCAAAAAAAGAAACGCATCGTGGAATTTTAGTGACACATTGAACATAAAGATTATTTAGTAAAATGATGCATTGATAAAACAGAAATGTGGTCAGCAACAGGAATACTATCAAAATGTCATAATTACTCAACAATTTTAAAATCATAGTCAGTTTAAGACAATTAAAGATCAATATCTGGTATGCCCCCCGCAGACACAAATGACAGCCACAAACGGCATCTAATGGAAGCAAATGTGTGTAATAAAAACTGCATAGGAATACTCTCCCACTCCAAATGTAGAACTTTAGTCAGCTGTTGCAGAGTCTGGGGATGCCATTGTCTTTGGCAAATCACTTAAATCCATTTTGTCCAATGCTGCTTAATTTTGATTAAATCCTGCGATTTAGATGACTGTGACTATAACAGGTTGTTGTTTCTTTGCAAGAATAGGTGTGTCAAACGAGCCATATGTGGTTGTGTATTGTGAGATTACAATACGGCTCTAGGATGCTGCAAAAGTGAATGGGTATGTGTAGGTAGATCATGAATAGAGTACTTTTTTCCATCAAATTCCATTGAATTCGAACCAAATCAATCTTACTTTCTTATAATACCATTTTCCGTATCATTACACTACCACCACCAACTTTTTTAACGTCCTGGAGGCAGTTACCTATCTAACCTTCATTAAAAAGCATTAGCACTTTTAAACTTATAAGAGGCTTTCAGATAAACATTCTGGACTCGTAGATTAACCAAAATGTTCAGGAGTGTTGCTGTGGTCATACTCTATTCATCTGAGATCTTTGAATTCGATATTTGGGGTGTTGTGGGTCGGAACAACGGCATGAATAAACCTTTTGCAATAATTCGTAGTCAACTGAAAACAGTCTTGTTAGATGATCTGTGCAGTTCAGGAATAGCTAATGCTTTAGATGACGTCCTTGCATTACATTCATGCAATCTGCTTAATCCTCGGAAGTGATGCTGTGCTGCTGATGACACACGTAGTCTACCATATTTTTTGCGAACATTGGGTATTCGATGTTAATGGTTTATGTTTTATAGGTTAGATATGGTCTATGTGTAACATTAAAACCTCTTGCAACTGTAGATTGCGGTACCCCAGCTTCCAGTCGCCCATTTTCTTTTTTGTGCCACGCAACATTCAGATGCAGGAATTGAAGGAAGCGTCATTTTCAGGATAAAACCAGGTTCAAAATATCGAGAACCCCCGCTTTTGATAGCCCCTTTGTACCTGAAGGAATTCCATCGTAATTCAACAAATGAAAATTGAGATCAATATTTTGGGGAAAATTTTGCAAAATCAGGTCTTTTTGTCTGTGAGACTTGTAGAATAGATGTAAAGTTAACAATTGCATTAAAAAATCATTCATTTCACTCGAATACATCGTATTCATACAAAAATAAAAGGTATGACAAAACTATCAAAAATTTTCAGGGCATTGTTCCTACTATGCGTTTCTTTTTTTGAAGAGTATATATTCTTTCATCACAAATGTTTCAAAAACAGATATGTCTAGAACTTTATGTTGGAAAATATACATGAACCAATCGATAGATAATATGCTACCTTCGAAATAAAAAAATTCAACACATGTCAACAACGTCGTCGTCATTCTCCGTACATGCTTGTGACGTCACGCGAGTCAGAAAGTGCTATTTTTCTCAAGGTTTTTTAATTTTTTAAGTGTGTGCGACTTTATGAACAAGATTAATTTTTTGAATGAAGACTTTCTTTGAAAATATCTTTTACGTGTGTAAATATCTTTCTTGTTCAAGGCGTCGCACATACCTAAAATCGCCGATAACGATGCTAAAAATGCCACTTTTAGGCGTTTTCTTGTAAACTTAGTCACTTTAAACCTTTAATTCTCTGCATATTACTTAAATCAACATATCAATTTAACCATAAAAGAAAAGTATAAATTCTAATCTTTCCAAAAATATCAATTTCATTGAGGTTTATTGGCGTTTAAATTGTAACAAAAACGGGGGCCAAACTATAATAGAAACCCTATATAGTTCTTTGTAACAGTTCATAATTTGTCTTGCACACATTTTGCTCAAGATTGAGAGACAAATCACATTTTCACGACACTTTAATTTTTTAAAGGCAGAGATTTTTTTTTACCGAGTGTTAAATTCTTGGTGAGGGCTCAGAAGGTTTATTCTATACAGGCATGAAAACATTGATTGATAGCCAGTCTACCTGTGTCCTGTGGTCATCTGTCTCCTGATCGACACTATACGTGCAGGAAATTATTAGTTACATAGTCTTTTAGTGACAGGGTATAATTTAATACACAGTGAAATACCCCAGGTGTAAAACTTTACTTGAATGTGTCGGGTAATTTAAGACAATTTAAATTAGTAAAAAGGTTTCTCAATTATATAGGCTATTGATTAAGTTATGAATGTTTGAAAACACCCTTACCATCATGCCTACCCATGTAAAAAATATGATATCATACTATAAAATCAAATATTAAAAAGAAAATTTTATTTGTCAGTGTACGAGGGGTGATCAAAAAGTTCGCAAACTATCTTTATATCTAGAAGACCACAATTCAGATTAGAATGAAATTCAGTACACACACATAGCCATACACAAGTTCTATAAATAGTTTATGCTGAATAAAGTTTCTCTCCTTGTTTGTGACGTCACAATGTGAAAATGACGACACTATTTAGGTCACTTGTGACGAAAAATGGTTGTCTCAGTCGAATTCGTTCAACAAACGACTGTACAATTTATTGTATATCTTTGAAATCCCTCTACAGAATCATATAATAATTTGTAGACAGTTCATAGTTCCTATAAAATCAATTGATGATTGGATTAATCGTTTTAGTGAAGGAAGGCTGATGGTTAAAGATGATACTTGTCATCTTGCCCAGTGAAAGCAAGTTTGAAAAGATATGTATTTTTAATTAAGCAATTTGCAATCGAAGACCTCCAATTAGCACTTTGAAAAATAGTTGAATATTTGAACAATGATTTAAGTATTAAGAGCCATTCTCTGTAATGACTTGAACTTTTATATAGGAGCAGTGGCACGCATAGTCTCAGAATTTATCCAAACTCTCTATGATAAAAGTCTTTGATACCCTAAACTGAAATCAGGCAAAAATTGGTTGCTATGTTTTATAGTTACCATGGCAACATGTCTTAAAGTTCGAAAAATGGCATTTTTTAACATGTTTAGAGGCCCATAGTTAACATTTGCGGCAAAGCAAACAATTGGCAATGACTGTTTCCAAAAGTTGAATGTCACATGTCTCAAATGCATGATAAACATGTTTGGTAAATAAACTATTACATACGTTACTATAGTAACAAAGAATTCAAAAGTAAAAAAAATATTCATTGAATTTTATAAAGTCATACACGTAAAAATAAATAGCAATTATAGGATGAAATATGACCAAATAATAGAAAAAAGAGCCTTGAAACATATACCAAGAACAAAATATGATATTTCATTTTGGATGGCAATGGTTGCCAAGGTTTTTATACCACAGAGAGCCTTAAAAGTAACACTCCGCATGTTTCAATCTGATCCTATCTTTTAAAAAAGCACATTTCCTCATAACTGATGATCAATTTTTGAAGATGTTGGTGTGCTCCTAGTTTTCCCATTTGAAAAAATTCAGTTTAGATTCTTTAAATAGAGCGTTGCTATGGAAATAAGCAGGAAATATATGCTTAAAAACCTGAAAAATATTTTCTGTCCTTGGATACGTACCCTTACATGTAGATTCCCAAAACTTTTATGATTGATATTTATTAACAGCTTACCTGACTTTTAATTTTGACTATCATCCAAGCTCTAAGTGGATGCAAGAAGTTGGCACACAGGGTTTGATATTAATATAAAGTTCACAAAATCAAACAGTTTCCCTTCTTGGTAACCATAGCAACAGTGTTGTTTTCTTCATCAAATTTTTTCGATATATGATATTCAACTTCAGTTCTAACAGATAAGTGCGATTCAAGCTGAGTCCTTTAATTTGTTTCTTGGTTATATGGCAATTTAATTCTTAAAGCAGCGAAAAATAATTCACTTTTAAGCACTGGTACTTTGTCTCCATGGTAACACTGCAAAGTAGCAATTATACACAATTTTTCTTATGGTTTTGGTGTTGTAAGGTCCTAAGGATGCATATTTGCCAGTCTTGAGTTTTTATGTTTTTCCTCAAGACAGTAGCATTAACCCAAAGTTAGTTACTGGTTTTGCATGGTTACACTGCGTTTCCATGGCAACCATAAAAGTTATTTATAGAATGATATTGCTTATACTTATATACTTAAGGTCAAACATTTTCATTGTTTTTCTTAAGTCTTTGATTGAGTTTGAGCATGTAACACCTACCATTAGTGAATACGGAGTGTTTTTCAGCATATTTCAGCATTTTAAATGTATTCCAAATGTATCCTTGGTTACCACTTACTTAGAGATATATTCTTAACAGTTTCTTTACAGTATAAGTGACATCAAGGTGTCATGTTTTTGTGAGAATGACTTGTTTGCTTTTTCTAGTTTTTATTAAGCCACAGTCAAGATTTAAAGTGGGTGAAAATCTCGATTTTTCAAACTTTTCCGGCTGTTGCCATAGCAACCAAGACACATCCAACCTTGTTACTTCTTTATTGCTGATTCTCCTTTTTTGATGTGGTTCTAATTTGAAGTAAAAAGTGGTTTTTGGAAGTTGCTATCACACCTTAAAAGGCTTTTTCAAGTTCAGTCCGTTTTATGGACTAGGGTTACATGTACATATGTTTTAGTTATTGGCAATATCATATCTGTCCTATTCATATTAATTGAATTAATTTTTTTCTTCAGAGAATGGCGAGTGATTCCATCACTCCAATGGCGTCTGGACAAGACCTGGGGGGCCGATCTAGATTTGCCAAACTTGGAATGGCAACAAACGATGTGTTAAATCAGGCATACAGAGATATACTAGAGATGGAGGTCCCCCCTTCCCTTATTTATAACAAAGTGAAAGCATCACCAAATTTTTACAGAAGATTGCGCCCTGAACAAGGGCAACTCTTGATAAATGCTACACATTCGGGATATAAAAACTTTGACATTTCATTAACATACCAATTGATCAGAAACATTTGTTCAAAGATCCCTAAACCGACAAAAGGAAAGTGGGGAGAAGAGCCAGAAGCAGGAGAAGTGACCGTAGGAGATGATATCGAGAGAATTAGGTCAATCCGGAATGGTTTGACAGCAAATGTGAGCTCAGCCTCCACACCTGAAGCAGAATTCAACCACACCTGGTCGACGATGTCAGATATCTGCCAAAGATTGGAAACCTTCACTGGAAAGAAGTACCTGGATCAGCTTAATCTTTTTCATAAACTGACGATCAGAGGGGAAACTGAAACTGAAGATAATCCGATAGAAAAGACTAAAATGGTAAGTCAGCATGAAATGGTGATGGAAAGTATTCAATTCAGATCTGAAGACAGCAATACTGAGGTCTGAAAGCAAGCATGAAGTACATGTACAGCTGTGCTATGTAATAAGAACAAAATATGGCCTATTAAATTCATCAAAAATAAACATTGATATCTTCAGAAATCAAGTGCTGATATATTTTACACGATCAGGTCTATCTGATCACGGATGTAAAATGGCGCCAAAACGTCACACAAATGCTACGTAAATTTCAAAACCATACAATGTATCAAAATATTCTTCAAAAATTGCAGATTTTATATCTTTGATCACAAACTTCACTTAAAATTTGGCAGCAATGAACGTGATTCATGAAACTTACATATATTTTTATAACGCAACAATGTTTCGATTTCGCAACATCTTTTGAATCGTGTTTGCTGCGGCCAATGTTAAAATTGATCTTATATGTTATTCCGGATTTTAAGTTGGGAAATCTAATGTGAAGTTATTTTTTTAATCAAAGGCACCGTACTTGCTTTAATTTTTTAAAAGTTTACAAAATGAATAATCAAGTCTAATCATTATCATTAAGAACAGACTGAACAATTGATGGTTACATCAATGTTTTCTCGTTATTAATTATATTAAGGACAGCTGTATCACCAGTGAAATAGCTCCTATTTCACATTTGATGATAATTCTACATATATTTAATTGTTCTACTTAAATTAATAATTTGTCATTTCATGCTTAAAATTCATTTACGTTGATAATTCTTAATATCTGAATTCATTTGTCAACAAATAGTGAAGCTAAACCAACACAACATCTGGCTAATTCTTAATCCCCTCAAATATTTAGTGCTTTCTTAGTAATTGTTAATTATTGACACTCAAACTGCCTGATGGCAATGGTCACTGATTAGGTGTTAGGTTAATTAAATAAACCTTCTTTGACTTCCTGGCATCAAAGGATGACACCTGAGTAATCTATAATTGTTTAAATTGTTTATTTGATAAGTTCTGCCTATGGCTATTTTCACATTCAAATTCCTTACAATTAGTTAATAAAATATATAGTTGAGAATACAAAGAGTTAAGAGAGATCTAGAGTGACAGAGCTAGTGAGCTGATGTGTTAAGAACCATGTAGGGAATTAGACTAAGAAACCTTTATTATTTTATTTCTTTATTTAGGCCAACTTTATCTAAATTTTAGTTAGGACTTGGACTTGCATATTTATGTGTTATGTTGTTGGAATTCATCATTACTTTAATAAACTCTCATTGTTAACCCTACAATTTGGACTTATGTGTTTCGTAACATTCCCCAAACCATTGAGCTAAATTCCCCAAATGAACGTGCACCGCCGAATTATGTCTAAGACAGACAAGCGCGCAGTCACAGAGTGGTCGAGAATCCGGTTCGAATCCTTTGGAAATTCCTCTCGCTGTGAGATTATGTGAACATTTTGGGACTCTTGGATTTCTACAGGACCTTTGTGTTGTTGATACAGTGATTTGTGACTCTAACATTCTTCTAAAGAAAGGAGCCCTGCCATCAAATCCATACAGAGACAGCCAGCCAGTTCCTGTTGGTGAGTACAGCCACTACTATCACATGTGACACAGCTGTATAACTTTCTATTATTATTTTTTAGATTGTTTTATTTCCTGTACTTTTCACGATAATGGCCTACTCTAATAGAAATTCATCTAGTACCCTCCTGTCCCACCCTCACAAATTTGTAGCTTCTATTTCAACAGCTATCACCAACAAAAACAAAATTCAAGTCAAAATCTCAAATCTTCATATCAGTGCTCTAGTGCTATCATTTCGGTAATTTGCAATAAATTTCTTAAGAAAATTTTCAAAAATCCCCATGTTTCAAAATCAAATTTCTCATATGTCAAAGGTGTTTGCGACACATCTCATAGAATTCTGGGAACAACAGACCTTGATATAGATGTCAATGGGTTGAAAATGCCCCATACTTTCCACATCTTAGAAACTCTGCCCCAAACCCTCATTTTAGGACAAGATTTTTTGGAACAAAACAAAGAAGTCATAGATCTAACACACCATTGTGTTTCTTTTCAAAATGAGACAACCATTGCTTCTATTACTACCCCAAACAACAAAGATGATGGAAATCATCATATTTCCCTTGCTCGTGCAAACTCTGAAATTCAATTACCACCTCTCTCTGAGTCAACAGTCACCCCTTCAGTTTCTAATGTCCCTCATGGTTCTGAAGTCTTCCTTGAACCAGTGAACCTTCTTGTGAATAAGAATCTGGTTGGAAGCAGATGTATCACTACATGTGTAAAAGACACTGTTTCATACAGGATCCTAAATCCTCTTAATGAATCAGTTGCTATCAAAGCAAATTCAGTTCTGGCGAAAGTTTTTCACATCGATTCTTACTTTGACATTATCTCGATTGACAATGTACACTCTGCATGTTTGTCAACTCTAGACACTACACAGACTATGGCCACTACAGATTATACATCTATCGCCAAGGAACTTGGTGTAAACATTCAGGAACAAAACCTTACAGCTGTACAACTTCAACAACTCTTGACTTTAATTGGACAAAACAGAGATGTGTTTGCCAAAGATGCCTCCGAACTGGGAAAAACAAACCTCCAGACACATGCAATTATTACAAACACAGAAAAACCTGTCCGCACACCGAGATATGCCCAAAATCCACAAATGCGACAAGAGACAGAGCGGCAAATTCACGAAATGCTGAAACATGATGTTATTGAGGAATCAACTTCTCCCTACCAAAGTCCTGTAGTTATGGTCAAAAAGGCTAATGGACAATACCGATTTGCTGTAGATTACAGAAAACTGAATTCTATCACAGAGGTGGTTTCATTTCCCATTCCAAAACTTGACGAAGTGTTTGACACAATAGCCGACTCAAAATCCAAAATTTTCAGTGTGTTAGATTTAGGTAGTGGTTTCTGGCAAGTGCCTTTGGACGAGAAAACAAAACACAGAACTGCCTTTATTACACACCAAGGACTATATCAATTTAAACGGCTACCTTTCGGCTTAACAAATGCTCCAACAAGCTACCAGATGCTAATGACAAAAGTGCTTCAGGAACTGAACTGGAAAATTGCTCTTATTAACATTGATGACATTTTGCTTTTCTCTAAAAATTTTGATCAACATTTACAACATTTAGATCTCATTTTTAAAAAACTTCGTAAAGCCAATTTAACTCTTCAGCCTGCTAAATGCCATTTTGCTGCCTAAGAAGTCAAATATCTTGGACACATTATCTCAGAAAAAGGAGTTGAGGTGGACCGAGCCAAAATTTCTGCAGTTGCTGACTTTCCTCAACCAAGAAATGCCAAACAGGTCCGCAGTTTCCTCGGAATGTGCAATTACTACAGGAAATTTATCAAAGACTATAGCAAAATTTGTGCTCCATTGTTAAATCTCCTGAAGAAAAACATCAAATTCCAGTGGAAACAAGAACACACTGATGCTTTCAACCTTTTAAAAAAAAAGTTAACAAATGCACCAATTCTAGCATTACCAGACTTTGGCAAACCCTTTCACAGGATGAAAATCCACCATTCAGTCGACTGAATGGTGGCTGAATGGCCACTGAATGGTCACTGAAAGGTCACTGAAAAGACCCTTTCCCGTGACCTTTCTGTGATCATTCAGTTACAATTCAGTCGACTGAATGGCACATACATTTCAGTGACCTTTCCGTGATCATTCAGTTGAATCATTTTATTGAATAATCGGCTTATTTTTTAACCTAAAAATTTTATTTCACTTTTTCTTGGTATAATAGCATTAAATGTATCTAATTCCGAATAAAAAAAAATAGGAAAAAATTAATACAAGAAAAAAAAAAATCGCTCCCATGTCCAGAAACGAACCCGGGTCTCCTGCGTAGGTGTCCGCGACCTTATCAATTACGCTATGACTTCTTGTTGACATATGAGGTTTTAAAATCCATTAATTTATTGAAATCGATGGAACAATCAGTTCACCTGGTGTATCGAGGAGCTGCGATGTGTATATATCTTGTATATCTTTTGTATATTCTATGTTAGTTGCGCGGATTTTTGGGACAGACTAATTAATTACACATCTCCTATCGGGATAATGACAATTATCAGAGACGGGCACCTGTTACTGTGTCAAAGATTTTTAAGATCGTTGTAAATTCTCTAGCTAGAAACTTAGTGGAATGATTTTATTAAAGCAATATCATTTAGAAAGCTAAAATCTCCTATATTTTTTTTTCTACAAGAGGCATGTATAAACGATTTGTCTATTCTTGTAATTAAAAATTAATTTAAAATAATGTCTTTGAAAAAATAAATATCCTGCAGTTTTGACAATGACATAATTAAGAAACGAAATTGATCAGTTATACTTGCGATCTTCCAGAAATGGTTTAAATAATATTAATTCTGTCTCATTAATCAGAACTATTTACTTCCATGAAAAAATACACGTATAAGCACTATAGAATGTTATGCATTTATTTAAATTTTGAATCGGTTATCGGATCATCATTTTTTATAACTTGAAGAATTTATTTTCTTAATGCAACTAGAAATATTCAATTAAAATCATTTTGAATAAGTCTCACATATTTTATTTTGGGGATAGACAAATTAATTACACATCTCCTATAAGGATGATGACAATTATCAGAGACGGGCACCTGTTCCTGTGTCAAAGATTTAAGATCATTGTAAATTCTCTATCTAAAACTTAATAGAATGATTTTATTAAAGCAATATCATTAGAAAGCTTAAATCTCCTATATATTTTTTTTACAAGAGGAATGTATAAACGATTTATTTATTCTTATAATTATCAATAATAATTACCTAGACATATTTATGATATCTGATTATTAAATGATACGCTAGTGAAAAAATTACTAAAATGCGATTTAAATATCACTGAAAGGTGGCGGAAAGGTCACTGAAAGACAACAGAAAGGTCACTGAAAGTCGACGG